AGGAACGCCTCGTGCTTCCACGGGCTCTTTGGTTGCCTATGAGATCAGAAGACATCCCCTTCAAGGCATACATGAGGAGTCAAAAGGAGATCTGTCTGCTTCATAAGGAAGCCCTAAAACGGGAATCCAACCCCTCCTTCCTCCGAGGTGACTTCATTGGTGTTGTGCCAGGTTTGCAGAGCCCAGAGACTAACCCATACTCTGATGCAAAAGCAAAAGGTTTCTTTTCATTTCAAGCTGGTCAGCTAGGATCTCACTGTATGGCGGGGAAGGGGGGTGCCAACCAGCCAAAAAGAGAAGCTTTTAAAGGGGCAGACCATAAGGTTGAAGGCCACAAATTACAGAGTTTCCATGGTCACTTCAGGTCATACAGAGTAAAGCAGTAGCTATATATTTTAAGTGAGATACATTTCACTGAGATAAAACAAGCCATGCCCTTGTAGGGTTACAGGGTCACAGAGTCTGTCAGTTATCCCCTGGGTTGGGGGATCTTTATGACCAGAAATTAGCAAAGTAATGTTAACAGGAGTGGTGGACAGTTACCTTCCCTTCTCTGAGAGCAGGGAATCAGGCCCCAGCCACAGCACTCAAGATTTAAGGAGTTAAATATTCCTTTACCATTAGACATTCCCTTTTCAGGGCCAAAGTTTTTTAACTTTTATTTATTTGAATTTTGGGTTCCTCAATTGGCAACCTTGTACACCGAGGAGTGGGTGAGGGGAATGTAAGGAACCCCAGATTTAGCACAATTGACTCCATGTTGGAAGTTCCATTGAGGCTGTAAAACTCAACACAGAGACAGTACCATCTGCTGAAATAAAAACAAAGACCTAGTCCATCAAAGTCCATAGATCTGGCAAAGTTTCTTAATGTACTGATATTCCTTTGTTATTTCTGGAATTTTGCCTGTCGCTCACTATCAGTTCATGGTAACTTAAGTAAACCCAGAATCTGTTTTTGTGTGTGTATGCTTAAAAGCTCACCTTGAGAAAGGCTTGGTGCTCTACTGGGATCCTAAATACCCAGTGTAATCAGTCACTGGCCATCTAATAATTACTTTCTATTGGCTTAAACCCATGACTAAGCAGTCTTCTCTACTGGATACCACCCAACAGAACTCTCATGTCCATCTCTGAAACTGTTTTTCTTTTTGAGACATGGTCTCAATGTGTAACCCTAGTTGGCCTGAAACTTGCTTTGTAGAACAAGGTTGGCCTCTTACTGGCAGTTAAATGCTTGTATCTACCTCCTAATTGCTGGGGCTAGAGGCTAGTCACTGCCATGCCTGGTTCAAAAAATTATTACAATTATTTCCTTATTGTACATATTGGAGGGGTATTGGAAAGTGCATACATGGTGTTTAAATCACAGACCAATTTCTGGGAGTCCTGGAGCTGGAAGTCAGATGACCAGACTTTGGAAAACACTTTTACCAGCTAACCCTTATCAGGAGGATCTTTGTATGTGTATATGTCCCGGACCAGACTCAACTTCATCTGCCAAAGAATGGGGGCATCATATCTGTGTCACCAACCTGGCTTTTCTGAGTTTTGTTGCATCTGGGGTTTATATGTTTGTTTGCTTTGTTTGGGGATGCTGCCATTGACAAGAGGTTTGAGAAGTCTTACGTACCTCAGGCTAGCTTAGATGTCCCTTAGAATCGAAGATGATCCTGATACCTTGGTCTTCTAAGTGTTGGGACACTTAAACACCCCAGCTTTCAACTGATTTAGTGGTACACACTTCCCACTTCTAGATTAAGTTGATGGATATCGAATGATCCTAGCTAGTTAATGATTGGCAATAAAAAAAAGCTTGTCCCACCCTCAAGAGACCTCAAT